AAAGTTATTTATTAACGGATTATATTGTTCACCAAGTTTTAACTATGTTTTTTTTTTATATTATTATTAATATAAAATATACAAAAATAGTAGTAAGTAGTTGTAAATGTCTTAGCAATTACTGTAGTTATTGTAGGATCAAAATCTGAAAAAATAATACTAGGCTCATATTTTAAATTTCCTTATTTGAGATATGTTAAGAGCCAATTAAAAGAGTCTATAGATTCATCTAGCAATAGTGCTTAAGCAACTAATCTACTTCTAGTATTATTATTAACTACAATCACCAGAGCTAATAGTTGGTAATATTAATTAGTCTTGCAAGTTGTATCTAATAAACAAACATTACCAAATCTTGTTAATAACTGTATTTGTTCATCTAACTGCCAAAAAATTTCTTTAAGTTCACTATCCATGTCTCCAATTACAGGTTTAATCATGCAACTAGGGTCTATTTTTTTTTGTTGTAAGAAATAACTTAGTAAATTAGCAGTATCATTTTTAAGTTTTTTATATATATTTCTTAATTAGCTTATTATATTATAGATATTTTGTAGTTTAATAAGATAATCGAAATATTCATTTTCAAGTAAGTTAATTATCTTACTAGATTGAATATGATATTAATAATACAACTCAACTTTATTGAGCATTTCGTTGCTTAACCTGTAATATTTTGGAGTATTACTTTTAATATTATCATCTATAGGGTAGTTGTGAATAAAATTGTTATTTAGTAAAGAACAACATATTGTTGTTGCTTTATTACCTATTAAAAAATTATAATGCTATTTGCAATTTGTAATATTTGTATTACAGTTATGTTGATTATTAGAGTTAATTATTTTTTTAGATTTCTATTGTCTAGATAAATAATATACTCAGGTAGTGTTCTATACTGTTCCATCTTCACATATATATGTACATCCTTTTCTAATAGCAAACCTATATTCTATTGCATACCTATCAAGTTTTTTCCCAGCTTCTTCAAATATATCAAAACTATTATTAACATGTAAATTAAATAAATATTTATAACTATTATAACTATTAACATTATTATCACTATTACTTTCACTAGAATCAGATAACTTAAGCAAAATGGATTGTTCAATATGGAGTTTCAGATGGGAAGTATCAAGGTAGTCAAAGATAGGTTCAGAAAATGTTAGTATAGTTTGTAAATCAATGGGAGAGTTATTTTTATAGGCATATAAAAAGTTTAATTCAGAATATTCTTGTAATAAATTATAAACTTTAACTTGTATTCTTTAAATTATATGATATTTAGTTAGTGTGAGTTCTTTAAGATACCTGATATAAATAGCAAAAGCTAATCTCAGCTTTTGCTATTTATATCAAGTATCTTGAAGAACTAATATTAGTTAATTATAGTATAATATATTTAATAGTCCTTCTAACTAACCTGAGACAGTTTTAAAATGTTATTTTCAGAAGCATTTCTTAATATACTTGAATTACTATATTTATTGGTAACCTGATGGGTCTAAAATATTTTAATAATAATACAACAGTTTTGTTACTAATATAACTATTTAACTAACCTGAAGCAGACTTATATTAAAATTTAAAGAAGCTATAGTAGTGTTTTTATAAAGAGTTTCTGGTAATATTTTTGCTTCTTCTAAACTAAGTTTGTATGCTTCAACACTTCTAGACAAATAAATATCATTCATTAAAAAACCAGATAGTTCATTAAATTCATTATGGATCTTTAATAATATAAGATAGATTGAGTATATACAATATATTACTTTCTATAAAAAAATCAAATAATATGGCGTTTAAAAAAAAAAAAAAAAAAAAAAAAAAAAAAAAAAAAAAAAAAAACCCAAAAAAAAAAAAAAAAAAAAAAAAAAATAAAGTAAAAAAAAATAAAGAAAA